TCAAAATTATTAGCCCTCCATTCCCAAATGATGTTTAACAGAGCAAGGATTTTTTTTTTACAATATCTCATAAAGGTTTTTTTTTCTGGAGAAAGTTTTATCTGTTTTATTTTGGCTAGAATAAAAGCAGAATAAAAAAATGTAAAACCTATTTAAGGTCAACATTTTCAGACCCCTTGTCTACAGAACAAATCATTTTCATGCACTGATTTTCCTACTTGAAAATTGAAAAATATCTAGTAAAATATTATGTGCTGTCATCATGGCAAAGATAAAAGAAATCAGTTTGCCCAACATATATATATATATATATTAAAAAAAAAAATATATATATATATATATATATATATATATATATATATATATATTTTTTTTTTTTTTTTTTTTTTTTTTATATATATGCATTTTGCTCATCAACCACTAGATAAGAAGTCTCTCACAGAAAACCAAAAAACGTAGGCTATGCTACAGATTTATTTATTGGAAGCAAAAAGGCAAGTTTGTTGGTTGCTATTTATCTGTTGGTGCTTTGCTTCTCTTTCTGAGCTCTGGGGAGAAGAATGTTTAATGTCAGGGCTTTTAAAGGCTTCGCTCTGACGAACTCTGCCATCTAGTGATTATCACATGAGAGGAATAGCAGTTACTGATTGGACCTTCTCAACCTGTCATTAGCTTCCCGCTGCGCCCATGAATCTATTTAGTAAACAAATAGGCAGACGTTCCTGCGCGGAATCAGAGAAGGCGAGAGGGCGTTTTTAGTTACAGCGCCAGTGGTGGTAAAAGTCCTCTCGCATTATTCCAACCGCCGTGTGCCATTCTCACCAGTGACATCATTAGAAGCTGTCTGGGCATGTTTCATCACATTTCATTATGCTCCGCCAATCCTCCTCCAGCGATATAATTATTTCTATAGGTCATTAAGGCATTCTAGAGAAGACAGAGCGGGTGTCTTGAGGAAAACCTCAGCTGGCGTGAAGCAGTTGTGCCACGCTAACAGTCAAGGATGTGCTTTTACAGCATTTAGATGAGCGCGTGTTGTCTAGTAAACATGCCGTTGGTGCTTGCATGTCCTTGGCACAGACACCCTTAAGCCTGTTCTACACTAGCTCGATACTTCACTACAAACAGAGCATCCTAATGGTGCATTTGGATTCGAATGCTTCCAAAAAAAACACAGAGCCTGAACTCGCCGGTTCAGCAAAAGGATTAAAATAGCCACATCCTGTATTTGAGTTTGGCTGCCAAAAGAGCTACAATCCGCACTGTGCATGTGTGAATGTGCAACCCACTGTATAATATGAACAGAAAACTGATGCGGGGGAGAAAAACGGGAGAGATATACCTGATGACATTCTGTCACAGTCTTCCATTATGGATAGCGCTGACACTTACAGAGCAGCAGAAGTCAGTCCATTATAGACTGGCTCCAAAATAACACACTAATTGTGTTCTTATCTTCCAGCGCCCTGCCTGAAATGGGAAGAGATGGAAAATTTCAGGATACAGAGATGTTAAATAAGGTTTCAGAGGATGTTGTTTTAAAATTGTGTTGGAAAAAAAATGACAAGTACTCGTCCTGGGTCATAAATAAGCCCTGCGGTCATAACATTCAGCTTTAGATGCTTTATCAGATGAAGAATGTGTTTTGTTAAAGGGAGCTTGTTGCTTCTGCTCTATCCGACGCTGATGTGATGGTATATTCATCACCTTTATCTTCTTCATCCATCATTTTGACATATAAAGGCCCCAAATATATTACAGGCTGGACCTGAATTATTTTTTGATAAATTGCGTGTTGGGACAAAATATTAGATGACCTTCAGGGTGCACTGACTGTTTACAGAAATTTCTGTCAGAGATATCAGCACGCGATCATCGCCTTTAAAGGATGAAATATAAAACTAAGTCATCTTTAAAATGCAGAATTTCGGCATGTAAACACCTTTACTGGCGTTCTGACAGCTCAGCCATATCTGTTTACTTTTCGATGTCAGACTCTAGAGTCGGTTCAATAGAGCACAGCAGCCAGCCTCCAGAATTCCCTCAGTTTTTCAATAGGGAATTTCTGTTTTAACAATAGCTGATAATCTTTTAGACGGACATGCTGAGAGTTCTGACTAGGCATGGGCCGGTATAAGTATGATAACCTTTGATAAAATATCACAGTTTCACAGTATTGTGATTCAAGCTCTAAAATATATTCTTTTTGAATGTCTGGAAAACATTTCAGCTTTGAACACAATGGCTGCATCCAAAATCACATATTTCCATACTATATAGTTCGCTAAAAACAGTATGCAAGCCGAGTAATATGTCTGAATTCACTGAGTTTGAAACACAGTAAGCAATAAGTACCAAGATGACCTACTACTTCCAGTGAAATTCTGAAGTGTGCATCTGATGGATGGTATGCTATCCCATGATGCACCATGAGAGAATTCATGAATGGGAGTGAAGCGTGTATGTCACATGCAGATGACAAAATGGCATCCATAGTATGTCTGAGCTCCATTCATACTACTCACATTTATACTGTATAGAAAGTACTTTTCTATCAGTTGAGTAGTACATTCATTCACTTTCTTGTTAGCTTAGTCCCTTTATTAATCTGGGGTCGCCACAGCAGAATGAACCGCCAACTTATCCAGCACGTTTTTACGCAGCGGATGCCCTTCCAGCCGCAACCCATCTCTGGGAAACATCCACACGCACACACTCATACACTACGGACAATTTAGCCGACCCAATTCACCTGTACCGCATGTCTTTGGACTGTGGGGGAAACCGGAGCATGCAGAGAAAACCCATGTAAACGCAGGGAGAACATGCAAACTCCACACAGAAACACCAACTGAGCTGAGGTTCGAACCAGCAACCTAGCGACCTTCTTGCTGTGAGGCGACAGCACCTACTGCGCCACTGCATCGTCTCGAGTAGTACATTCAAATTCAAATGCAGTACCTACTGAGTAGTAGGCGATTTCGGACACAGCCGATATATTTTATTTTGAAAAACTTTAAAATATTTTGAAACAAAATAAAATATTTTGAAATCAGTCAAAAACGCTGATTTCTTTACAATTTAACCTTTGGATGTCTTTTCTGCTGGAGAAACTGTTGTACTAAAAAAAAAATAATAATAAATAAAAAATCTTACATATACCATAGGAACAGTATAACAAAAAACGTTGCTGGTTTGAAAACCTTGAAAATGGTCACCCCATGCCTAGATTTAATGTTGTTATTTGTTTTGTGCTTTTGTTTATTACCCATTTGTTCCTATTAATTTTTAAAACAACGATCTTTGATAGCAGCATTTGTGCAGAAATACTACATTACCCATGATGCTGTGCACAAATTCCACCAATCAGGTTTCAGTGGGAAGAGAGCTCCAAATAATAAGTGTTTAATTTAGAGCACCGCAACGCAGACCAATAATGTATACAAGAACAGGGACTTTTCGTTTTCAGTAAGCCAGCTCAAGTGCTTCCAGAAAAACTGCGACAAAATCATCGCGTTTAAGATCTGGTTTCTTTAAAAATCAGTGATCTTCACTTCCTAATTGATGTGCAATCTAAAGTGGGTCTCCAAGCAAACAAGAAGCAATAAATTAAATCCCATTGTTCAGTTTGTGTCTTTAAAATATGGAAATTAATTACCACAGTATTTCAATGGAGTTTCTGCGCTTGCCACTTAAATCTTTCATCTCATTTTACGCTTGAACAATTCAATGAATACTTAAGTTTATTTAAATGATTGTATTGTACTTAAATTACATTATTGATGTTATAACAGAAAACTTATAAAAATAAAAGTAATCACATTAACTGTTCACCCCAAAGACGCTGTGCATATAGCCCATTGGTGTCTGATGTCAAAGTACTGCGAGAATGATTCAGAAGCAAACAGAGCTGTCTGCTTTCTGAACACTCTTGCAGGTCTTTGGCGTCATCAACGAATTGATCTGTGTAGTACTTAAAGTCGAACATACCTAGATATCTTAAGCTCCACCCATTCATGTTTAGCACTTTATTACATAATCCCAAATGCTTAATCTATAGGCATATTGTTCTTCTGTATTTTCCGGTGATTTTTAATTTGATTATGTCATGCTCCGTAGGATTGTAGTTATGTCCACGATTAATGCTGGTGAGTACACAGAGAATTTAAAATTGCTTCACTAATTTATTTTGCATGAACAACAGTTTGTGAGTCAAGTGATCCAAACTCATAGTATTAAAAATACAGCAGGCAAGAAGTAACCACTACCCGGATGACCTTCTACCTCTGCTGAGATTCTGAAGTGCATGTTCGATGAACATTATTATCCCATGAGGCCTTGGTGGGGAATTTCTGAATGAGAGTGATGCGGTGCAACTGACACTAATAGGTCATGTGATAATGTCATCATGACAGATATAGGAGGTTTCATTCATACTTTTCATACTACACAAACCATAATTTTCTATTGGTCATTGAGTAAGTTAGAATTCCAAAATGGTAAAAGTTTTGTCAGATTTCCAAATACTTCTGCTTTGAATAAAAGTTTGTGAGCTTGTGACTCACCTCATATTTGGTTGATTTGATTTGTGTCATATACGGCTTTAAGAAAGACCTCCCTATAAAAAAATACCAATAGGAAATGGATTTTGTAAATACTAATGCATCCAGATGTTTCCCAGTACTGGCTTGCAGCTTGAAGGACATCCGCTGTGCAAAACATGCTGGATAAGTTGGCGGTTCATTCTGCTGTGGCAACCCCGATGAATAAAGGGACTCAGCTGAAAAGAAAATGAATGAATGAATGATTCTTGTCATATTCGACTTTTAAACTTCCCAATAATAAAAAAAATCCCTATAGGGAATGGATTTTATAAATACTAATGCATCCAGCTGTTTCTGAGTACCTGGTTGCAGCTGGAAGGGCATCCACTATGTTAAACATATGCTGAATAAGTTGGCAGTTCATTCCGCTGTGGTGATTCCTGATGAATAAAGGGACTAAGCTGAAGGAAAATGAATGAATAATGCATTCAGCACTGCTGGAAGAGGTCAGGTTTAAACGCACTACATTTCAAATCTCATGTAAATGCGGGTATTCTTGGTAGAGTTAATGGTAATTATATATTTTTTGTTTTGTGATATGTAAATTTGTCGATGTACAAAAGTGCTCAAGCAGCTGCTGTTGCTATGGTTACCTCTTTAAGCAAATACAGAAAGCGAGTATTTAACGACTAACTTTTGCGAATAATAAAAGATCTGAAAACTCAATTAACATTCCCTAAAATTGCATTAAAATTTTTGCAAATTCACTTGGGTAAGAGAGAGAAGAGTGGCAAAGACTTAACTGACCCCTCAAACCCTCGTAATGTGCATATAGTGCTGTGATTTTGCAGAGATTACTGTACGTTATATGTGCAGCACCGTTTAGAGAAGCATAATAACAGCGCAGCAAAAAAAACAAGAGATGCACCCAACACAGGAACACGTGTTCATCCCTCCCCCAGCTTCATCTCCACCACCCTCTTAGAGAAGTTTCTCTTATTTGTCGGGGCTGGAGATGGAGTTGGAGAGCTGGAGGCGCGCAGTGCGCAGGAACCGAGAACAGTGAGAAGACGAAGAGAATCAGATAACAGCCTATGCCAGCTGTGAGGAACAGCAGAGGCGGCGAGTTAAAACTTGGACCGGATCCTTAGGGCGTCTACCAACTACCGTCTTATTAAATTGGTGCGATACACCTGGGGAAACAGGAGGAGTGGATGAAGGTGGAGGAGGAGGAGGGTGCCAACGCACAAGTGCTAGACTGCGCCAAGCCAATCTGAGATTACAAATTACTCGCATCCATATTTCTCCACATAGGGCTGAGAGAGTCTGTTTTAGTTATGCGGATCTGGAGAAGACGAGGAGATCTGCGTCGCTCCATCCCAAGACAAACGCGCTGTTATTGACAAACTCCTGCAGGGTAAGCCTTATAAATAACTTTTTGTCTGCCCAGAAATGCGGGAGACTGGTGCGGCTGAAGTGTGAGGAAAACCGAAAACATTTCTGTCAGGAACTAAGCGTACATTCGGGACAACTTTAAGCGAGAAGGATGTCCGCGTTGAGGAAAAAATTTGGGGATGATTATCAGGTGGTGACCACCTCGTCCAGCGGCGGCGGGTTCAACCAAGCGGCCCCCGAGAAGAAAAGGAAACGTCAGCGCTTTGTGGACAAGAACGGCCGCTGTAACGTCCAGCACGGGAACCTGGGAGGAGAGACGAGCCGGTACCTGTCCGACCTGTTCACCACGCTCGTGGACCTCAAATGGCGCTGGAACCTTTTCATCTTCATCCTCACATACACGGTGGCGTGGCTCTTCATGGCTTCTATGTGGTGGGTCATTGCTTTTATACGCGGAGACATGAACCAGGCCCACGACGACAAGTACACGCCGTGCGTGGCCAATGTGTACAACTTTCCCTCCGCTTTTCTGTTCTTCATCGAGACCGAGGCCACTATCGGATACGGTTACCGCTACATTACAGACAAGTGTCCGGAAGGCATCATTCTCTTCCTCTTCCAGTCCATCCTAGGCTCTATAGTGGACGCTTTTCTAATCGGCTGCATGTTCATCAAGATGTCCCAGCCGAAGAAACGCGCGGAGACGCTCATGTTCAGCGAGCACGCGGCGATTTCCATGCGTGACGGCAAACTGACCCTGATGTTCCGCGTGGGGAACCTGCGCAACAGCCATATGGTCTCCGCGCAAATACGCTGCAAACTGCTCAAAGTGAGTATCCAACCAGTTAAATAAAAGTCACACAGAACATATTATTTATTAGAATGTTAAATATCACAGTTTAATTGATGTTTAATCATAACATGTGATTATGATGCATTTAATTGATTATTTAAAAGGTTCAATCTAAGGTTCATCGTTTAGCCTCAACATAGGCTTTACCTCAAGCCCTGATAAATGAGAAGGACCTGTAATTTGATTTGCCCACCTACCGTGGACAAAGTATCGATCCACTCCATGTGACTTTCCTTTTTCAAACACTGTAAATACATTGGACCTGAGAGTCACTACCACAGACATTGAGGAGGACAAGCACACCCCCACCAGTGATTAGAAATGGGCAAATGTTCCCATATTTCCACCTGTACTGTTCTCCTTTAGCTTTTTTTTGGTCAGGATTACATAGGCTAGTCAACCTCAGCAGTCTAAAAAATATTTTTGATGATAAAACAATTAATATTTGGTAATAATCTAATTAGGCAGAGTTTACAAAATAAAGGTTCCAAAAGAGGAGTTTTAGAGTGATGTCATAAAAGATATATTATTGGTTAAGATATTTTAATAACACTTCTATAAAAGTTATTCAAATAACAGTTCTAAAAAGATCATTTTAAGTATTCTAAACAAAAGAATAAATAATAGTTTTGTGCAAATGAAATATATGGATGGTTAAAGGTTCCTCATAGTACCACCAATTGCAATAAATAATCATCTTTTTAAGTGCACATAAGCAGAGTGTATGGCTTCCAGTGCAAAGAATTAGTTTTAATACAAGCTAAAAGAGACCAAGGTAAAATAAAAACAGTGAATATGTTAAACAACTGGCAGTAATGTAATCTACTTGTGTTTCCCCCCAGCCAAATTTTACTGTTTTTAGGCACAAAAAAAAAATGCTACGATCCATGCCATGTGAATGTAAGAAGACTTGAGACATTTGATTTTTTCGATATCGGGCATACAAATAAGAGGGAATGTATGTTTGTTTTAAAACGACAGAAGTAAAAATGATCCCTTCAGTATAATTAAACTATTTCCTTCACCACTACTTTTTTTTAATACTTGATAAAGGCACATACATGTATAAAGGCATATTTCACCCATAAAATTCTGTCGTTTATTCGTCCTTCCAAACCTGTTTGAGTTTCTTTCTTCTTTTGAACACAAAAGAAGATAGTCTGAAGAATGCCGGTAGCTGACACTTAATGTATCCATAGTAATCTTTTAGTCAATGCCAGCAACCAGTACTCTTTAAAATATCTTCTTCTGTGATTAACAAAAATATATATATATGTTCGTAAAGGTTTAAAACCACAAGTAAATGATTTTGATTTTTTGGTGAGCTATTCCTTTGACATTGCTACTGCCTTGCGTAAAGATACAGACTCATACACTCCATCGTTTTCCTGTTTTTTCCTAAATAGTTCTCTTTTTCTACATTTCCTCTTAGTCCCGTCAGACTCCCGAGGGCGAGTTTTTGCCTCTGGATCAACTTGAGCTGGATGTTGGGTTCAGTACCGGAGCTGACCAGCTTTTCCTAGTGTCTCCTCTGACAATCTGCCATGTGATCGACTCCAAGAGCCCATTCTACGACCTCTCGCTCAGGTCCATGCAAACAGAGCAATTTGAGATTGTGGTTATCTTAGAAGGGATCGTGGAGACCACCGGTGAGTTTTATGATAACACACATCAAGCAGCAAATATGCTAAAAATTGGAATTTTATTTTATCAGTACCCCAGAACGATATTGCTAATCTTACGTCAAGCAAAGTTGAGTTTTATTGGCATTCTTCTGCTACATGTGAAATGTCATGTCTTGCATGACCACGGTGATAAACAAAACAGAAATAGGAACACAATTTCTTGGATTAAGGAATTTGACATTCTTTTTTCTATTAAACACATAAGAAGATATTTTGTAGAATGTTAGCAGCAGCCGTTGACTTCCATAGTATTGTTGCCCCTGCTATGGATGTCAGTGGCTGCAGGTTTGAAACAAGTGGAGGATGAGTAATTGTTTACAGAATTTCTATTTTTGTGTCAAATAGCCCTAATATTTTAGATTTTATGTATATTAAACATATATTACTTCTTTATTAATTTTTTTTTCAGAAAATGACAATTGATCAGAATAATAAATGGTTTGAATTTGTTTTGATAGAAAACCAGGATTTAAAATCATTGATATTGTGTTGTCTAAAAGTGAATATAATATATGATAAAAATAATATATAAACTTTGAAAAATATATAACTTTGGACAAAAGTGTCTGCTAAACAACTTAATGTAAATAAAAACGTAGTACCATTTTTATGCCACAAAATACTGTAAATTACAACATTTATATGTTAATTTGAGAAGAAATGTTATCACACCAATTTTCAAGTATTGTTTAAAAAAAACAGAAAAATATTAAACTCTATATACTTAATACAAACTATTTACAAACCATACAAGTTTCTAAACGGTTATGGTTACAGATAACACTAAACCCGAAACCTTCACAACATAAACTTCAACATTTCAACTTTAACATTCTGACAAAAGCTGGTGACTTTACTGGCCTTATTATATATTTATGTTATTAAAATATTAATTATATTAATAATATATATATATATATATATATATATATATATATATATATATATATATATATATATATATATATATATATATATATATATATATTAATTATAAATAATAATTTTTTTTTACTAATTTTAAACTGTATGTGTACTATATTATTTAAAAACAGACTAAATTGTTATTTAAAAATTTTATTAATAAAATTACACTATATATTTATTATTATTTAATCAAATGCTAAAAAATAGACAAATATGATATAATAATTTTGTTATAATGATAATTGTTATTAAGCTTATAATATCAGTGTTAATATTACCAATTATAATATTAATTATTATTATTATTATTATTATTATTATTATTATTATTAAGAATGTTATATAATTCTCAGTAATAATAATATTAATAATTATTATAATTATTGTTGTTGTAGAACAACAGTAAATCTACAAGACAAATTTTTTATATCTTTTTTCTATACATTTTAAATTATATATAATTTCTGTTACATTTTTGGCTGTACTATACTGCAAATATTGTGTATTTTTACTGAAATGTAACTATTTCACCCTCATTTCCTTCAATAAATCCAATGTACTCTACAAAACATAGTCAAAAAAACATATCTTTTGTCAAAAACACCAGGTTCTTAATGCAAACAAACGGCACAATTAAAAGCCTTAAAATATATATATTTTGTTGGTTGTTATCATCTGGACTGATGCTGGTATATAAACTGATGTCAGTGAAAGCGTTCATGTTAAATTATGATCCTTTTTTTGATGATCTTATTTATTTATTTTTTTTTGCATTTTTTAGATATTTGTCCACCGTGGTCCTATTTTAACTTTTTTAATTGACACACAAGGATGTTTTATTGTTTAGTTTTATTATTTTTAATTCAGATGTAAACCGCAGAGTTATATATACAGTAGGCCCACACAGAATTTGCGAGCACAGAAATCCGCAAATTTTTAGCCCATTATTGAGTATATTTGTTTACTTGCGTAAATGTGTGTAAATTCATATTAATTCAGTTTTTAAATGAATTTCAGTAATAATATTGACTAATATGAAAATTGTTATTTACAATACAGTTCATATAGTCAAATTTTCTGACTTTAAGTAGATATATTTTATGAGAGACTTGCTTTGTTTAACAAATAAGTGGATCTAGATGGATTTTCATTTTAAGCATTGAATAAAAGTTAAAAATATATTATTTTTAATTTCATATATCACGTTTTAATGATACTACTAAAATCATTCCGCATAAATACGTAGATGTTTTATAAAATTCTCAACAGAAATAGCAAAAAATGTCCACAGATTATGTCTGGCCCTGGTTATTTACAGTTGAAGTCAGAATTATTGTCCCCCCTTAATTATTAGCCCCTCTGTTTATCTTTTCCCCAATTTCTGTTTTACAGAGAGATGATTTTTACAACACATTTCTAATCATAATAGTTTTAATAACTCATCTCTAATAACTGATTTCTTTTATCTTTGCCATGATGACAGTAAATAATATTTGACTAGATATTTTTCAAGACACTTTCATACAGCTTAAAGTGACATTTAAAGGCTTAACTAGGTTAATTAGGTTAACTAGGCAGGTTAGGGTAATTAGCCAAATTATTATATAATGATGGTTTGTTCTGTAGACATAAAAAAAAAAATAAAAAAAAAAATAAAATATATATATATATATATATATATATATATATATATATATATATATATATATATATATATATATATATATATATATAGCATCATCATCAAAATATATAGCAATCATAAAAAATATACAGCTTAAAGGGGCTAATAATATTGACCTTAAAATCATTTTTAAAAAATTAAAAACTGCCTTTATTTTAGCAGAAATAAAACAAATAAGACTTTCTTCACAAGAAAAAATATTATCAGACATACTGTGAAAATTTCCTTGCTCTGTTAAACACGATTTGGGAAATATTTAAAAAGAAAAAAAGGGGGGGGGACTAATAATTCTCACTTCAACGGAATATATCTATATATTAAATACACTCATCTTTTGTCAGTTTGTGTGCGCATGTGTGTGTGTGTGTGTGTGCACTAGTGGAATATTTGCGCAGTATGAAGGGCTTTGGCTTGTGCGATAACTGATGTGTGCTTCAGTGTGTGTGTGTGTGTGTGTGTGTGTCTGTGTGCATCAGTCTGCAGAAGCAAGTTTGCTGGTGCAAATCGGCTTTTTATGATATGAAAAGAATGAATGCTGGTGTCTACTGCAGCAAAGACGGAAAGAGAGAGAGTGAGACGTGTTATGTAAGAAATGATATACAAAGTTAGTCTTTCGCTTTGCTCTCTGCCTCATGCTTCCGTAGTCTGGCATGCTTCGAGATTAAGCCACCTGTCAATCAAATCACAGCTCACCTTTACTTTCTCACCCTGCGGCATGAAACACACGGATCCATACGTGGAGAAAACGTCACATGCTTACAGTGAGAATCAGCATTTGAATCGCAGAAAATCACTGCAGCGTACACACTGTATGTACATATTCAATTAGGTGCGCACACTTCCATGCTTTGATTTAATAAAACACAATCACACATATATCATATATAGCGTCCGGTCATATTCATTGATGGCTCATTCCACCCACATAAAGTGAAGGGATTTGTGGGTAAAAAAAGAAAAGGAAAAAAAAAGATGTACAGTTAGTCAGCACTCTGTTCTCCCCATTGTGAATCAGTTTCCATAGCAACTAAATCGGCCCCTTCTTAAGCGGCCTCCATACAGTAAAGTCTCACCGGCTGTTTGAAGTGCGCAGACCAAACTTGTGTTTATCAGCCTCACAAATCAAATACTAATTACTACTTATCAAATAATTCATTAGACATTTTTAATTATGCCCTGTAATTACGGCTAGGTTGATGTCATGCGCATGTGGGAGTACAGCACAAATTTGTTATGAGTGAGTGTGTGGGGGTGTGTGTGTGTGCTGTTGTGTCCTTCATTTGTAATCTTTAGGATTATCGTTTTAGTACACGCTTTTTTTCATGTTGAGGACACTTTTCACAAGCGCACTGTACAAAAATGAAGACTTTTCGGAGAAGTAAATAAGGCAAAAGATGATCCTGAGTGCATGTTTTAGTGGAATTGTCAGTTTTAATTAAATATGTTTAGGCATGAATGCTCAAGCTGTTTAAAACCGGATGAATTCTGACAAGCTGTCAATCTTTTGTCATTTAATAACAAAAAAAAACAACAATATGAAAGTGATTTGATGATATCAGCGCTTATACATGCATTCACTGGTTCAGAGGTTGCATATGAAAGGCAACGATTGATGCATAGCTTTAATGTAAAGAAAGAGGGATAGAATGGTAAAATACTGGAAAATTTCGGCAAAAACAGGATGGTTTACATGAATAAAGTGAACAGGAAGTGTTTGTGGAGAGACAGTTTTGCTAGTAAAAGGAATGCAAAACATCTTTGGGAGGGAACGCAAAACATCTTTGCGAGGGAACGTAAAACATCTTTGCGAGATAACGCAAAACATCTTTGCGAGATAACGCAAAACATCTTTGTGAGAGAACGCAAAACATCTTTGCGAGGGAACGCAAAACATCTTTGTGAGATAACGCAAAACATCTTTGCGAGATAACGCAAAACATCTTTGCGAGATAACGCAAAACATCTTTGCGAGATAACGCAAAACATCTTTGTGAGATAACGCAAAACATCTTTGTGAGGGAACGCAAAACATCTTTGCGAGATAACGCAAAACATCTTTGCGAGGGAACACAAAACATCTTTGCGAGGGAACGTAAAACATCTTTGTGAGAGAACGCAAAACATCTTTGTGAGAGAACGCAAAATATCTTTGTGAGATAACGCAAAACATCTTTGGGAGAGAACGCAAAACATCTTTGCGAGGGAACACAAAACATCTTTGCGAGAGAACGCAAAACATCTTTGGGAGGGAACGCAAAACATCTTTGCGAGGGAACGTAAAACATCTTTGTGAGAGAATGCAAAACATCTTTGTGAGAACGCAAAACATCTTTGTTAGATAACGCAAAACATC